ATCCTTCATGAAATATTTCCCAATAAATCCTTGAACTATTTAATTATTCTACTTTAATCACCAAATTCTGAAGATTTACAATTTAATCATTATCCCGATATTGAGGATGTTACAAATCTCTCCCTAAAAAAATTCGTTCTCAAATTTTCATTGCACAAATAGATGGGGGTACTGATGTCGCATATCTTCTTCACGCTCCCACGTTTCTTCCTCTACCTAGTGATTTCTCCATAGAACTTTGACTAAAAGAATAGTTTTGTTCCTCAATTGTTTGACTTCATAAGCCAATATTTTCACCGGCTCTTCTTCATAGGTTAAATCAGGTTGGACTTCTATTTGCTTCGGTGCAACAATATGGGAGGAATCGGACCTATATTTCCGTAACATAGACACATGGAATACATTATGAATTTTCTCCATTTCTGGTGGCAACAAAAACTGATATGCTACTGGTCCTATTCTTTTAAGAACCTCATAAGGCCCAATGAATCTAGGGCTCAACTTTCTTTTCCGACCAAACCATAATACTTTTTTCCAGGGAGATACTTTAAGGAAAACTTTATCTCCAACTTCAACTTCAATCTCTTTTCTTTTAAGATCAGAATAGGACTTTTGCCGATCAAATGTCACTTTAAGGTTATGCTGAATTTCTCAAACTTTCTCTTCCACTTCTTAAATCAAATCTGGACCAAGATCACTTCGATCTTTGATCTCGTAACAATTTAATGCGTACGACATTTCCTCCCATATAGTGCCTCATAGGGTGCCATCTTGATACTGGATTGATAACTATTATTGTAAGCAAATTCTGCCAATGGTAAATACTTCTTCCACGACCCTTTGAACTCAATTACACATGCTCTCAACATATCTTCCAAGGTCTGAATAGTCCTCTCTGATTGTCCGTCCGTCTGAGGGTGAAAAGCTATACTAAAGTTTAAGCGAGTTCTGAATGCTCCATGTAGGGATTTCCAGAATCTCAAGGTGAATCGAGGGTCAAGATCAGAAACTATAGAAACAGGCACTCCATGCAATCTAATAATTTCTCTCATGTACAGCTCTGCGTACTTTTCCATAGAGAAATATATTCTAACCGGAAGAAAATGTGATGACTTAGTCAATCGATCAACAATTACCCAAATTGAATCTCTTTTATTCGGAGTTAAGGGTAACCCCGAAACAAAATCCATTGTCACATTTTCCCACTTCCATTGTGAAATGGAAATCGGTTGTAACAATCCCGATAGAACTTGATGCTCGCCTTTGACTTGTTAACATACAAAACACTTAGACACAAATTCAGTGATACCTCTTTTCATCCCTGCCACTAATACCGATCTTTCAAATCTATATACATCTTGGTTCCACCCGGGTGCATCGCCAACGGACTACAATGAGCCTCTATCAATAGATCTTTCTTCAATTCCTCATCATCTGGTATCACAATTCTTTATTTATAATACAAATTCACATCCGACTTAACCTCAAAATCCTTAATCTCTTTATTATTTACTTGCTCCATTCTTTTCAAACACATTTCATCTTTACTTTGTAATTCTCCAATTCGATCCAACCACTCTGGTTTAAGCTTTAACTCCGCACATAGACCACTGTCTCCTGTTAAAGATACTCTTGCGTCCATAACTCGTAAAGCTGCAAATGTTTTCCTGCTCAAAGCATTTGCTACCACGTTAGCCTTTCCGGAATGATAATCAATTATCACATCATAATCTTTTAAAAACTTGACCCATCTCGTTTGTCTCAAATTAAGCTCTTTTTGAGTCATCAAATACTTCAAGCTCTTATGATTGTATACAAGTAACAACGTTCTCCGCATAGGTAGTGACGCCAAATCTTGAGAGCAAACACTACAGCAGCCATTTCCAAATCATGAGTTGGATGATTCCTTTCATGTGGTTTCAATTGTCTCAATTCATATGCTACCACTTTTTCTTCTTGCATTAATACACATCCCAATCCATTATGGGAAGCGTCATTGTATACCACAAAATTCTTGCCAGATTCAAGTTGAACCAATACAGGAGCTTTTGTCAAAATTCTCTTTAAACTTTCAAAACTTTCTTGGCACTCCAAAGTCCAAACAAATGGTACGTTCTTTCTCATGAGCTTTGTTAAAGGCAGTACTATCATCGAAAAATTCTTAACGAATCTTCGATAGTAACCGGCAAGTCCAAGAAAACTCCGAACTTCAAACACATTCTTTGGGACTTCCCATTCCAAAATAGTATTTATCTTTTGAGGGTCCACCCTAATCCCATCTGCGGAGATCACATACCCTAGGAAAATTACTTCATTTAGCCAAAACTCATATTTGGACAATTTGGCATAAAGCTTCTTATCTCTGAGAATTTTTAAGACTATCCTCAAATGAGCGCTATGCTTTTCATGGGATTTTGAGTACACATGTATGTCATCAATAAAGACAACAACAAACTGGTCTAAATAAGGTTGAAAAATCTTATTCATGAGGTCCATGAAAGCAACAGGTGCATTCGTTACTCCAAATGGCATTACGATGAACTCGAAATGTCCATATCTCGTTCTAAATGTTGTATTCGGAATGTCTTTCTCTTTAATCTTCAATTGATGATAACCAGAACGTAAGTAAATCTTCAAAAATATCGAAGCTCATTTTAATTGATCGAACAAGTCATCAATTCGAGGAAGGGGATACTTGTTCTTGATTGTCACTTTATTGAGCTGTCGTAATCAATGTAGAGACGCATTGAACCATCATTCTTCTTAAAAAATAACACTGGAGCTCCCCAAGGTGATACACTTGGTCGAATGAATCCCTTCTGTAACAACTCTTGCAATTGATTCTTTAATTCTTGCAGTTCTTTTGAAGCCATCTGATAAGAAGATATTGCAATAGTAGCTATTCCCGACATGACTTCTATTTGAAATTCTAACTCTCTATCTGGAGGTAATTCTGGCAACTCAGCAGGGAAAACATCAAGGAACTCTGAACTATTAGAATCTCCTCTAAACCTTTCTTTTTAGTTCTTATGTCGACCACTTTTTGGCATCCTTGTAGTAAAAACTTTTTTGCTGACATCGCTGATATTACATCTGCAAAGGATTAAACCTTTAACTGATCACATTTACTTATGTTCCTTCTGGACTTCTCAGAGTTACATTTTTCAATCTGCAATCAATATTTCTGTAATAACGGAACAACCAGTCTATCCTCAGAATTACTTCAAACGCATCGAATGGTAGTTCCATCAGATTAGCAGGGAATTCAATTTCCTGAATCCTTATGGGACATCCCTTACAGACCTTATTTACCCGAACACTGTGCCCTAAAGGGTTAGTTACTATTACTCATTACTCGTAGCTTCTAATGGTATTCTTAATTCTTTTACTAATTTACTGCTAATATAAGAATAATTGGAACCGGTATCAATCAATACCAATACCAACTTATCAAACAACTGAAAAGTAATTGCTATAACATCGGGATCATCACGATCTTCCCTTGTCTTTAAATTGTATACCTGTGTAGTTGAGAAAATTTCAAGTTGTGTAGATGATTCAAACTGGTTCCTCCCTCTACCTCTACCTCTTCCTCGTCCTCGTTGTTAGGCAGAAACATTTCTTTTAGATGGTGCAGGCTCACCAACTATTAATGGGCAATCCCGGATGAAATGTTCGGCCTCTCCACATCGAAAACATACTTCATGAGCCATCTGACATGTTCCAAAATGATTCTTCCCACAATGTTGACACTGTCTACCTTGACCTTAATTGGATCTCCCAGCACCGGATCCCATTGATTGCGTCTGTCTAGCTCTCGCCTTACTTGCTCATCTAGCAGATGATGCAACAGATTCAGATCTAGCTTGAGATCGAAATCCTGAATCTCTTCCTCTTTTTGGTGGTGCTGAGCTGGAGGAAACACCCGTCCTCTTCGAAGTCAGAACTCTTTGATCCCCAAATCTTTCATTCTGAGCTCTCTCAAGAGTTTTAGCACTAATAATCACCTCTTAAAACGACAACAAGTTCAACACTATCAGTATTTCTTTCAATTTAGGACGCAAGCCCTCCACAAACCATTCACATGCGTCTTTCTCTGTAGGAACAAACTCAGTTGCAAACCGACTCAACTTATTAAACTCACACTCGTATTCATATACAGAGCGATTTATCTTCTTCAAATTCATAAACTCTTGCTTCATTTTCCTAATGAATTGATCTCCAATATACTTGTGTTTAAACTCCTCCAAGAATAAGGACCAAGTCAACTGGTCACTTGACATCCTCATGTTGACATTCGTCCACCATATCCTCGCTTTCGCTACATTCATTCTTTGAGTTACTGGAGCAGAAGGTTGAAGATGCGTCAAAATTACGTCCAACGCCCTGAAGAATGTATCATGGTCTTGCACAGGCACTCCCTGAGATGTCTGTCATTCACCTTGCCTGGCCAGGGCAGGTGAATTGCTTCTCTCAGCTGGCCTATCTTCTCCTGCTTCACTTCGGGAGCTACTATGTTCGGACATCTAATAAGAATAAACATATCGTTCTATTAACAAAACAACATACTCATTACTATTCCAGATCAGAAGTTCTCACTATATGTTGGCATGTATTCAATTTAAAGATACTCTAGACTCTGGTTTATGTCGAGAATCGGCTAAATCGTAACTCTGATACCATTAAATGTAACACCCCAACCCGTACCCGACCTGGATACAAGTCTGAGATGTCACATTTACTTTTCAAAACAATATTCTTACAAGATAACTGAACAGTTTGACTTATATTAAGAAAATACGATAATATACTGTTGAATTATGTTTTGTTATAACAAATTTAAGAAAAAATATTTTTTATGAATAGTGAACAGTATCGATGCTCAAAAACATCGAATGTAAATTGTGTATCGATACTGCTACAGTGTACCGATACACTACTACACTAATTTCAGCCCAACATATATATATGCATAGGTTTATACAAAATTCCCAAAATACTCACAGCATGCACGACTTAAACGTTTGATTACATGTCAACACTGATTTACATAATAAAATGACATACTATTTAAGTTGCTTCTGATCTGATAGTTGCAGGAGTAATGTTGTCTCAGCTACCTAACTTTGCTTGTCTACCTTCTCGAATCCTACGTGCGAAACACTCACACGCTAAGTCATCGACTTAGTGAAGCATAATAATAATAACAATAAAATACAATGAAAATATCACAATGATATGCAATATCATGAAATCATATATTCAATCTATTCAAGTCACATAACCATGTATCTTACCCATTATCTTATTAAGTTATCCATCATGAATTCACATTAATAAGTTCAATAGCCTATGATATAATTTTGAGAACCCAAGGTATCTGAGTACTGTGAGGTTGTGCACTATGTTGTCACCACAGCTCATATAAATTTCCACTAGGGGCACATAGAATTTGTCCCGAAATACCGCGTAGAAATGCACCGAAGTACCATATAAGATGTCCATAAGGACCACATAGAAATTCCTTAAAAATCATATGCATATGCCAAGGATCAAGTATGTGTCTCAAAAGACCTCATGTTCCAAAAAATACATATATGTCCCGAAGGACCGCATATACCTCTACTCTTGGCATGTCAACTATACTTATAGTTCTCATCAACATAACATGGGCTTATCACAATTCACATAGTATATCTCGTAGACATATAATTTTTTACCTTTATCACATAGCTCAAGTAACTTTTCATGCATATTTATTTATAACCATCATCACATAATGCATGAAATATAAACTCATGCATGTATTATAGCATGGAATGTAATCATGTATTATTGTATTGACTCTAGACTTGTCACAAGAGCAGAATACACCACTATAATCATGTTATCCATATGCACTCACCTATATCTCTTTGTCTTTTCCCTGATCAATCCTACTCTTCAATTGTTCCGGAACTTGCTTAGGCTCAATATCTACATAAATATAATTTTTAAGACAATTAGCAGAAGCTTAAACCTTATAATTCGATACTAATAACTTAAGTTAATTTAATAAACCATAATTCATTTTTTATCTTAAGGAGTATATCGGTACACTACAGATGTATCGGTGCCCAAATTACATTCAAAATGTTCCGTGTCAAGGGGGTATCGATACACTACCTGTGTATCGAGACACTTATTACATTCAATATTTTTTATTCAAGGGTGTATCAGTACCTATTGAATGTGTACCGATACACTTTGCCCAGAAATCACTGTTAAATCACGAAAATTCACTCTTTTCAGCTTGAATACTTCATGTTTCATTCCCTTTTATATTATTAACTCAAGTACATATACTTAAACCGATTTCTACTGATTCAATACCTCCTTAACTTCAAAATTCCTTTCTCTAAATAGAAATCAATAATCATATCAAAATTTCTACTTGTTCTAAATCTACTTCTAACACTTCATATCTTTTAATTAAGTTGATGACAAATCAAATTCCATCTCAAAGTTCCTTTATTAATTCTTTTTCAGAAATTCACTTTAAAACTCATTCTCTTTAATCTTTCATAACTTCTTCATCTTTTAATTATAAGACAACATAAGCTTTCCTTAAGCTTAAGTATCACCTAAGGATCAAAATCCACACTTAAAATCAACAAATAAACCACTAACCAAAAAACTCACATTTGCTACCTTAGTTCACAATAGAGAGAAAGTAGAAGGATGAAGAGAACTCTGGATTCCTCTCCCCCAATCCTCACGTGTATATATCTCAACCTTATCCCTTTTTAATTTATTTATTGATCAAATAATCATTTTGCCCTTTAATTCATTTAATAATTACTAACCATCCTTCATGAAATATTTTCCAATAAATCTTTGAACTATTCAATTATTCTACTTTAATCACCAAATTCTAAAATTTTACAATTTAATCACTAACTCGATATTGAGAATGTTACAAATATATTTATTAAAAAATTATTATTTTTATTCAATAAAATATATATTTAATTGAAAAATTATATATAGAGATATATTATTGTAATTATCTCTAAATATATAATATATAATTATTTTTTTCGTGTCGGATCAAATATTTTTCACCCTAAACCCAAATCCGATCCAACCCGAACATAACCTCTGAAAGACCGACCCAAACCTCTTTTTTTAAATATCCAACCTGACAGGTTAAGGTTCATGCCCATCCCTAGTTAGAAATGTAAAATTCTAAAACTTAAGTAAAGACAAACTTATAAAATTATAAGAATTATAAGAGACGAAAACAAATTTTCAATAAAAAATACATAGAATTTTTTTAAAAATATATAGTAACTTTAAATTTTCAGGGAACGACTGCCCCCACTGTTTCCCCCACAATCCATCCATAGATATGATAAATTGCTAAAGGTTGACGACGTAACAAAGAAGAATTAAAGCTAATTAACTTTAAATTATTTAGCAATCACAAATTAGGCTTTAAAAACATCTTCAAATAGTTGCACCCAAACTTACGTGCAAAAGCCTTTACTTTTGTAATTTGGTGAAGTTTGATTGATGTTTCGACCAAAAATCTCAACTCTCAAGCCTTGAAAATTATTCAACACGATCCTTCTCACAATCCCCTAAGTTCATTACTTTCCATGCACCATGCACCATGCATGCATGCATATATAAATATATACGCTTGCCAAGTTCCGTTCTTTGTTTTTGGCCCTTTGTTGTCGAACGGCCCTCAATCAGAAAATCTACACATAATAAGAAGAAAGAAACTGTTAGAAGTTATATAGGTTTAGGGTTTATTGGATACTGGATAAGCTCAATTATGTATGCATGCATGGATAGCACGCATTGACGGTGGATAAGCTCAATTATGTAGGCATGCATGGATAAAGGATAAGCTCGATTATGTAAGAATGCATGGATAGAGGATAAGCTCGATTATATAGGCAAGAATGGATAGTGAATAAGCTCGATTATGTAGGCATGAATGGATAGTGGATAAGCTCGATTATGTAGGCATGCATGGATAGAGGATAAGCTCGATTATGTATACATGCATGGATACTGGATATGCTCAATTATGTAATGCATGAATGGATAGTGGATAAGATCAATTATGTAATGCATGAATGGATACCGGATTAGCTCAATTATGTAATGCATGAATGGATACTGGATTAGCTCAATTATGTATGCATGCATGGATAGTGGATAAGCTCAATTACTCTTATCCAACCACATGTATTTATGCTATTCAATACATTTCCTTTTGCACTTTTATGTGCGTAAATGCTTACATCTTCGGTTAGAGATTCTAGTATATTAATAGTAAATATGCTCATTGCTAGTGGTCCAACATCATGCAAGTGTTCCACAAAATATAGGCTAACATACTACATTTACGCATGTTTGTAAATAAAAAATTTATATTTGATCGTATGTATCTATAAGAAATGGGATAATTGGATAGGATCTCCTAAATTATGACCCACATTCTAAATTGATCCTTAAAATTTAAAATATTCTACATCAATCCCTAAACTATGACCCAATTCTAAATGGATCCATAAATTTTAAAATATTCTATATCAATCCTTAAATTATCAATATATTCCATTTGATCCCCCCATTAATGTGTCGATAACTTTACTAGTTAAAAAATAATAATTTATTTTTTAAGGTCTAGAAAATTGAACACATTACCTTCTAAAAAATTCCCAGAACTTCAAAGATAAATGGAATTCTTTTAGAAGGTCACGTATTTAATTCTCGGGACCTTAAAAAATAGATTGTTATTTTTTTAACAAAGGTTACGAGTTCAATTCTCATGACCTTCAAACTAGTAGAGTTAACAACACGTTAACGTAAGGATCAAAATGAAATGATATTAATAGTTTGAGGATTGATATTGAATATTTTAAAATTTAAGGAGTAAATTAAAATAGCAGTCATAATTTAACGATTGATACATAAAGTTTAAAGTTTAAAGACCAATTCAAAATGAGGCCCATAGTTTAAGAATCTTCTGTGTACTCAACTCATAAGAAATTATAACCTAAATGTACATGCGTACTATTCAAAGCTATTATACATTAATGAACTAAATAACTTAGATGCCAAACCAATCATAGCAATTAACACTAGAAATCTTTACGGGAAACAATATATGAAGTGAAATAAGTATAAGCAAAAACCCATGGACCAACCCTAAGATTCAAAGTTATTCTTATTAATAATAATGTTATCTCTAAAATTCGAATTTAAATTCTTTTCTTATGGGTGTAATATGTTTTACTACCGTACCCAGGAACGAATCTATCAAAGGGTTGGGGAACTGTGGTCCCTCCTAGATATTTTGTTATGGTGACATTTTAAGGTTTTTTTAAGTTTAAATATTAGTTAAATAAGATTTTTGTCCCTCCCATTTTCAGATTTAAATACTTAATAGAACCTTGTTATTTTGATATAAAAGAATTTAACTCACTCATGTTTGATCTTAACTTCATCCTTGACTATACCGTACACTTCACACTTCTCAATAGACTTTATCGGATAATAACACTAGCTCTAGGGTGCATGGCTCAACATAAACTCAACCCAAGCACAAAGACAAATATCTTGGTGCATATAAAGCACAAGAGCTCAAGGCATTGAGTCAAACACCCAATCCTCATATCACACCACAACCACATGCCAAAAGCAACAAACACCACAAAAACAATACACCTCGACCAATTGCTCTAATCTAGTAATTATATATATCACTGATATACCCTACCTTGTCCAGATTTATCCCCACACATCTATACATGGATAGACATAAAATTTTTCATATACTAAAGAGACTAACTTATAAAATTTTAGAAATACGAAAACAATTTATCAATAAAAAATATAAAAAGAAAACCATATATTATATGCGAATATGAAATTTTCATAGGAGCGATCCCTTTATCAATCTCGTTGTCCATCCCTGCATATATATATATATATATGATAAAATCAAAATATCTACCCTCGTCAATCTCGCTGTTTGTTTTGTGTTTGTCTTAATTTTGTGTAGGGTTCTCTTCTTTATAGTAAAATAAACAGTCTGCATTACCTGATTATTCTACTAATTCGCCTCTTTCCCCCCTTATTTACTTCTTTGAATCCTAATCTCCCTTACCGTCCGAGACTGAGAGCAGCCTCGACGTCCAGCCGCCATGCGAAACCACCGTCCATTTTCCAGACATCACATGGCAGCATTCTCGAAAGCTTCTCCTTGTGCCACATATACTGCAACCTCACCTTGCATGAAAATGCAGTGCAAAACCTAGGCAATTCTTGTTTCAACACAAGCCACACCGTTATCTCCGGCGGTGGGGATGGTGGCTCCCATTCATTCGCTTCCGCTACTACCATCAACATCCTCTTGTAAGCTTCGTTAACCCACTGAACTCTATACAAACCATCTGATATAAACCCTGGACACGTGTCAGCCTCTAGATTCTTTATCCTTTCCACGTCCGTACTCCCTAACTCCCTCACTTCCATGCAACCGTCCGTCACGCTCTCCACCGTCACCCACGACTCCAGTTCCACCACTGTGGCCTTCCTCCTTTGACTCATCAACACCGTGCGATTAGGTTCTTCAACAACTCCCATGCGATCAACCCAACGGTAATTGAAGTTCGAGTTAGATAAATAAGGTGGATCGTGATTTTCATCTAAAACTCTACCGGTTTGATTGTTAACCAATCCGTTCCCTTCAGTTTTCTCTGGTAATAACTGCAAAGTGACAATATTTCCAGGACACTTACAAGTTTCATCATGATGAAGTGGATCTGATTCTGATGATGATATTTTCTTTTTCCTGATATTATTCTTTCGAACCCTAACGTACTTTCTTTTAGCTCTCGGCATACAAAGCAACAAATTTTTGTTATCAATCCCACCCCCATCGGATCTCGACTCACCAGAAACTGGTTTCGGAGCTATCGGCCGGAATCTAAGCATTATCGGAGTGATCACCATCTTATCATATGCACCTCCTGTGTACCCAACTTTGCCCCACTTCTTATCACAACCGTTCATCTCTCCTCCGTCGCCGCTTGAACCACCTCCAGATATATAAAAATCGAAGAACCTCTTATGAAACTCAGAAATCTTTCATCCCTAAATTTCCGGGGGGTTGAGGGTTTTGTTTAAGAGAGGCGATAATCAAAGCGGCAAATACAACACGCTGCTAGGGTTTTCACTGGTTAAATGTTTAAGATATGGGACCCATATGAAAAGTAGATAGGCCCACCCCAAGGCGACTGTCCAGCACTGGCCGAAAGAGGGGGACACGTGGCATGGTCTTGGGAGCTGGAGTATATTTTACAGCTGAATTAAATAGAAAAGAGCAAAAAAAGGGAGGTTCGAGAAAATGGACACGTGTTCCCTCCTCATTAGCTTGTAACATGTCTTAATGCTACAACTCTCCACATCCCGCCGTGAACTTCACCTTCCAACTATTCACACTTACAAAGTTGGTGGAAAATCAGGGGCGGAACGCAAACTAAGACAAGAGGGGCTAGGCCTCCCAAAGATTTAAAAATATTAATTTTGATCCTTAAATTTTTTTTAAAAAAATAATTTGATCCCTTTAAAAATTAAAATTAAATTTTAATTTTTTTTATTTTTTAATTAACCCTTCTCATGATTTTTAAAAAATCTCATTAAATCTTTCAAAATTTTAAAAAATTGTTATTAGATCCTAATTTTTTTAGAAAAATATGAACTAAACCCTTTAAAAATATTAAGAATATTAATTTAAATATCTAAATTTTTTAAAATTTTAAATTAACCTCAAACTCTATCACCAAGTTTCATCTGTGTGAAAAATAATATGAAAATATATTTTAAAAAATAAATAGATGGTTTTTTATATATGATAAAATATTCAAGGGTAAAAAATATATTAGAATTTGTTATTTTCATTTCTACAGTATATACTAATATTTAAAGGGGCTAAATGAGGACTTACGTGGGAAAATGGCGCGTGGACGAGGTGATTTAATGAAAAGAAACAAGAAAGTAGGAAGAGGGACGCGTGTCGAATTCCATAAAAGATGTGGGTATAGAGTCCTGATGTCATCGGATTTTTGTTTAAAGGTATTTTTTATTGTGGGAGAGGGACGTTGCCCTCTTTTTAATCTGAATAATATCTAAATTATGTTTTCGTTTAATATTTTATCAAAACAGTACAAATTTAATGTATATATTTTTATTTTATGTTATTAAATTTATTTAAAAAAATATTAAGCATCTCACTTACCATATGTCACATAAGCACGAGTTAAGATAAGTATGTGTATAAATTTTATCTTTAATCACATAGTATGTTTAAAAAATTGTATTTACACAATATAAGATTCAAAGACTTTCGTTGCTGAAATTGTTGATTTTAAATTGTTAAAGGCAGATACTAAACTTTGATCATATCCTTAGATACTCAAATTTCTCTATTAAATATCAATTTTGCTGGTATCGAAAACTTCTTTTAACTATTATATTAATACGGACTTTATCAAAGCTCATAACTTATATTTAATAGTTTAAAATCATCAACTTCGACAATAAAATGGTTCAAATCTTATAATATTTAGATTTTTTTTTCTGAAATGTTTATATATAATCTTTCATCTTGATCCATTATTACTAGGTGTATAAAAGATGCCACCATTTGCATTCTTATTATCAGTTTTTTTAGTTTATTACAATAAACTGTAAAACAAAATTCCTCTGTAATAAATAAAATAAGTTAAACCCTATCCCTGTCGTACTCATTTTTTTATGTGTTTGTAAAGCTTATATTGTATTCTTATTATTTATAAGATTTTATATAATATTTAAGTTATTATAATTTATTAAATTTTTTAAAATAAAAATTCCCCTATTAAAATTACATATAAGTATAAAACCTACCACGTTATTATATTCTTTTTAACCCTAAATTGTTGAATAATTTGTTTTGAAAATAATGAGAGGTGAGATTACCTGAAATGGCTCACCACCATTGTTAGAGTCCCAAGCTGAGAGCAGCCTTAATATCCAGCCTCCATGCAAACCCACCGGGGTTCATCTCCCACACGTCGGAAGGAACCATTTTCGACTGCTTTTTCTTTCCCTTTGCGTTGCCGTACTGTAACCCTACAAGGCATGAAAATGCACCCCGTGGGAACTCGAACCCCTCTTTCACCACCAAGCCCACGGCAGGTTCCGCCCCGTCCACCACGCCAACCATTTTCTTATATGCTTCGTTAACCCACAAAACACGGTTCCAACCGTCGGATACGAAACAGGGATCCTCCTCGAGATTCTTCATTCTCTCCACGACCGTAGAGTTCGTCATCCCTCCTCCATCAATGCAGGTGTCGGTGACGCTCTCCACCGTCACCCATGACTCCGAGGCCGTAACGCTTCTCCCGGGAGAGGTTATCAACGCCGCCGTCTGTTCCGATAAACCTATCACATCGTGATCTGCTGCAACCCTTCTCTCCAACTTCAAGCACGGCGATGGTGGGTCCTTCCGATCGAGATCACGATCAGCCCCACTTGACCTATCAATAACCATTGAATTCTCTATATAAACACTCTCCGGCATCAACTGTAGAGTCATAGAACCCTTATTTTCGCCGTTATCTTCTTTCCTTATCCTCCTGCTATTTTTCTCACAAACCCTAACGTATTTTCTCTTTACTCTATTGCTTGTAACACCCGAGTTCTTGTTTCCGAACGTCGAATTACCGGAAACTGGATCTCCGTTCACTGGTTTCGGAGCAATCGGCCTGAATCTGAGCATTATCCGGTTGACTATCGTCTTATCTTGCGCACCCCCAGCGCATTTTAGCATACACCAAGCATCTCCGCCCTCCATTCCTCGTTCTAAAGAATTTAAAAAAACCTAACAAACTCTCTCTCCTTGTTTTATTTGGATTATTTTTTGTCAATCAAAGGGCAAAGGCTTTACCGGAGGTGAAGCGATAATCATAGAGGCAGCGAACGTGCCCTTGATCAGAGCAGTCCACGTGTCCCAGGGTGACATATGAAGCAGTGCCGTGATTTGATTGGTTGAGAATCAGTGGTGATCTATCCTTTTGTCCGGTTCTATTTGATTTTGATCATAATTTAAAAATTATTAGTAAAAAGTCTTAATATTATCGATTCATCTGAATTAAATTTCTCTTTCGTTAACTTTTAAAGAATAAATTATATAGTTAAGAGATTAAAATTAAACAGATCGATAACGTTAAAAATTAAATTAAATAGATCAATAATATTACAGATAATGCACCTTTAATTTTAAAATTAATAATTAAAATCAGTTAGGCTGAAAATAAAATGGACTATTCACAGAAATTACCCAAAATAAAAAAGTTACATGCTTTGGGCTGTATGAAGCGTCTGATTGGTTCATCGGTTTACCCAAGAGAAATAAGTACGTGGCGAGAAATACGTAAAAGACGGAGACACGTGGTTGAACCTTGGGAGACGGCATAAATATTCTGTTCGAAGTGGAGCAGCTTTTTTTCTTTAAAAAGTTAAATAAAAAAATATGAGTGGGTAGGTTCCTGATTGATTAACACGTGGTGTTTTTTTTGTTTGCTATGAAAGAGAAAGTTCAGTTGGGCGGCACTTCCATGTTTCTTGCACTCGAGCGCGTGATTGTAAACGTAGATATTTCTTTTACTCAACACTCGTGTACTATTCTGTTCCACACTTCCTTAAAAACATTTTCCTCGTTTTATTTTAGTATTTGATTAACGGAAAATAAATTGATTAACGTAAAATATTTCAATAGCTAATATTTTTTATATTTTTTGAAAAATTTATGGTCTAATTTTGCCTAAATTATTTTTAAAATTTTCTACTTCAAAACATAAACAGTGACGAAACTTGATAACAGAGTTTGGATGGATCAACTTAAAATTTTAAAAAATTTAGAAGTTTAAATTTTGAAAAAAAATTGAAGAGTTTACTTTTCATTTTTTGAAAAAAATGGAGCTTAATTAAAATTTTAAAAATTTTAAGAGGTTTAATGAGCATTTTTAAAAATTATGGGAGGTTTAGTTAAGAACATTAAAGAAATTTAAAGCTTATTCTAAATTTCTAAATTTTTTGTGAAGGATAAATTAATTTTTTTGAAAATTGTAAGGGTTTAAGTTATAAATTTTTAAATTTTGGGAGTTGTGGCCCATACTAGTTCTCACTGTGTTCTGTCTCTGAACATAAATACTCAAAATAGTATTTTTTTGGATATTAATAAAACCAAGGTCGGTACATTAAGCGTTCATACGAACGCGGGGGAACTATGAACATCACGGCGCAAGATATCTAATATGAAAAGTGGGGGTTATCAAAGGTACAAGATATTAAGTGGAATATATATATTTTTAGGTCGAGTCGAATCAGACTAAACAAAAATTCGATTCAACCTGTAACATCTCAAACATCGGGCTAGTGACTAAAGTGTAAGATTTTAAAAGTTCGTGCTTAAATTAGATAAATTAAAAAGTTCAAGGATTTAATTGGAATTTCTTTGTGTAGGATATATTAGCAAAGATTGAAAGATGGAAGGTCTTAATGGTTTTTAGGCAATAAATGAATTTAAACTTTATTCTTAATGTATTGTATACATGTGGAGAAAAGAAATAAAGTCTAGAATTCTCTCTCTTCATCTTTCTTCCTTCCTTTGCACTGTTAGCTTCTTGGCTAACGTAAGGAATCTTTAAATTAGTTATTTCTTTTAATTTTGATTGGTTTTGATTTTCGGGGTATTAGGGAAGCTTGAGAAAGCTTAAAGAGTAATAGAAATTAAAAGATTGATAAGTTATTAATGATCGAGTAAATATGGTTTTTGAGAGAATTAATGAGAAATTATTAGTAAATGGATTTTGAAACTATATTTGACTTGTCATAAGTTAGAATAAGAAGTTTAAGGTGTTGGAAAAGGATTTGGGATATGTTGAATAATTGGGATGATTTTTAGTTTAAGTGTTCTAGTGAGATTTTGGATGTTTAGGAGTGTTAAAGTGATGTAAGTTGGTTTTGATAAGTGTAGTTGAGTTTAAAGGCATGAAAGAATATAAAAGTTGGAGATTTATATGAGTTTTGGTCAATTTTCGAAATGAAATAGGTAATTTCTGGGCAATGGTATCGGTACTGGAAGAACAGTACCGATACTTCAAAGAAAAAATAGGTGAAATTGTAT